TGAACCTCTGGAAGTTCTCTGTCAATGTATGATTGTAGCCATTTCTGTATTACCTTTAGCAAAACTTTACTCGCTTGAGATATCAAAGAAATTGTCTGATGATTTCCACATTCCGTTGGGTCACCTCTCTTTGGAATGGGCACAAATATGGATCTCTTCCAATCTCTTTGGTATAGTGACTGTATATTCCTCTATCTCCTTTTGATGCTTCCTGAGTCATTCAATATTTTGTTCATGTTATTGTTGCTAAGTGCTGTTGAGTTGGTTCTGATTCACAGAGACCCTGTGTAGGTTTCTGAGGAATGGCTGGTGGATTTGAAATGCCAGCCTTGTGGTTAGCAGTCCAGTGCATATCCTACAGAGCCACACTGGGACTCATAGAATCCTTCAATATTTCAACTCGAGGCTTGAATTTTTTCTTCAGACCTTTCACCTTGGGAAATTCTGAATGTGTTCTGCCATTTGGTTTTCTAACTCCAGGTCTTTGCACATTTCATTATAATACTTTACTTGTCTTCTCAAGCTGCCCTTTGATATTTTCTGTTTACTTTATTATTTCTTCTATTTGCTATAGTTACTTTATGCTTTAGAGTAAGTTTCAGAGTCTCTTCTGACTTCCATTTATATCTTTTTTTTTCTCTCCTGTCTTCTTAGTGACATTTTGTTTTCTTCTTACATGATATTTTTGATGTCATCCTACAAGTCTTCTGGTCTTTGGTCATTAGTGTTCACTGTGTTAGATCTCTTCATAATATTGTCTCTACATTTTGGTGGGCTGTATTTAGGGTTGTGTTTTGGCTCTTGTGAACTTGTTTTAATTTTCTTCAGCTTTAGCTTGAGCTTACATATGAGCAATTGATGGTCTGTTCCACTTAGCCCCTAGCCTTGTTCTGACTGATGATATCTTTCCACAGATATAGTTGATTTGCTTCCTATGCATTCCATCCAGTCAGGTTCATGTGTTTAGTTGCCATTTATATTGTTGAAAAAGGATACTTGCAGTGAATAAGTGGTTGTTGTTGTTGTTGTTGTTAAGTGACATTGAGTTGGTTCTGACCCATAGAGACCCTGTATAGGGTTTCTGAGGAGCAGCTGGTGAGCTTGAACCACCAACCTTGTAGTTCAAACGGCTTTGCAGTCTGGCACATTAGCCCACAGCGCCACACCAGGACTCCAAATAAGTGGTTAGTCTTACATAATTCTGTCATGTAATCTCTAGGGTTATTTCTGACACCAAGGCCATGTTTTCCAACTACTGCTCCTTCTTTTTGTTTTCAACTTTTACATTCCAGTCATCAGTAATTATCACTTGTTGTTGTTGTTGTTAGGTGCCATTGAGTCGGTACTGACTCACAGCAACCTTATACCCAGCAAAACAAAACACTGCCTGATCCTGGGCCTACCTCACTGTTGTTGCCACACTTGAGTCCATTGATGCTGCCACTTTGCCAGTCCATTTGCTGGGGGTCTTCCTCTTCTTCTCTGACCCTCCACCCTACCAAACATGATATCCTTCTCCAGCGACTGGTCCCTCCTAACAATATGTCTAAAGTATGAGAGATGAAGTTTGGCCACCCTGGCCTCCAAGGAACACTCTGGTTACACTTCTTCCAACACAGATTTGTTTGTTCTTTTGGCAGCCCACGGCAGTTTCAATATTCTCCTCCAATACCACAATTTAAAAGCATCAATTCTTCTATGGTCTTCCGTATTCACTGTTCAGCTTTCATATGCATATGAGGTTATTGAAAATACCATGGTCAGGTGCACTTTATTCCTCAAGCTGACATCTTTGCTCTTCAATACTTTAAAAAAAGTCTTGTGCAGCAGATTTGCCTAATGCAATACATCATCTGATTTCTTGCCTGCTGCTTCCGTGGGTGTTGATGGTTGATCCAAGAAGAATGAAGTCCTTGACAACTTCTGATCTTGGTAATATACTTGTTCAATTTCAGGCTCCAGAAGCTGGTAAAATCTGTCTTCAACTTCCTCATCACTGGCTTTAGTTGTTGTTGCACAAATTTGAATAATAGTGGTATTAACTGTTTTTTTCCTGTAAGCGTATGGATATTACCCTATCACAGACAGTGTTGTTCGTCAAGATAGATCCTGAAAGGCTCCTTTTGATGATGAATGCTGTGCTATTCTTCTTGAATTTATCATTCCCAACATAGTAAACCATATGATTGCCAGATTCAGAAGCTCACTTAGCCCTAGGATATTGATCTTTATGTGTTCCATTTCATTTTTGACAACTTGTAATTTTCCTATTTCTCTATGTTCTGTGTTATGATTCCTATGGATGTATACAGTTGTTTCTTCTCATTTGGAGTCATGCCACATCAGCAAATGAAGATCCTGAAAGCTTTGCTCCATCCACATCATTTAAAGTCACTCCACTTTGAGGAGACAGCTCTTTCCCAGTCATGTATTTTGAGTGTCTTCCAACCCAAAGGGTGTATCTTCTGGCACTATATCAGCCAGTGTTCCACTGCTGTTCAGTGGCTAATTTTTCAGCAGTAGACCACCTCTTCCTTCTCTCTAGCCTGTCTTAGTCTGGAAGCTCTACTTAAACATGCCTGCCATAGGAGATCCTGTTGGAATTTGAAATGCCAGTGGCATTGTTTTCATTATCACAGCAACACACAAGCCACCACATTATGACAGACTGGCAGTAGAGTGATGCAAATATGTGTCTAAACTGTGATTAATAATAGGTGGTTTGAAAAAGTTAAACTTGCATGATGACAAAAACTTAAGCATTATGATTTTTAAGTTGGAAAGATTGAAAGTTATATCATTACTTTGTGATGTCCATTCAGATGAGACATATAAACAGCTTTAAACCTTCAGACTGGTCAGGTGATGTTTTATTAAACTTTAATCATCCAGTTGCCATCTAGTTGATGGGTTTTCAGTGGCTGAGTTTTAGGAGTTTGCACCACTCAGGGATTCCTGTTAACCTTTGAAAACAAACTAACCACAAACTCATTGCTGTTAAGTTGATTCTGACTCACAGTGACCATATAGGACTTCCCCAGCATGTTTCCAAGACTGTAACCTTTTCAGGAACACACTGCCACATCTTTCTCCCACAGAGTGGCTGGTGGGTTTAAACCACCGACCTTTCAGCTTGCAGCTGAGCACTTTTAACCACCGTGCCACCAGGAATCCTTTGTTACATTTTAGGAGCTAACAATTAGGTCATACCAGAGTTGTGTTTCTTGTGTGTGCTTCTGTATCATCTGCTCTAAATCAATCTAAAGTAGGATGAGAGAAATATAAATAATCTTCATGGTTTTACTTGTGTTGCAGAGGTAGGACTGGGGTGATTGATGGTCAGTAGGCCAACCCTAGTGTGGCTAGGCTACTGTGTCTCTGTATGGATGGTTTCATTTTCTTTCATTGCCCCTTCTTTTCTACAATGTCTCCTAGGATATCCGTGATTGCTCAGGACCACTAAGTGCACTTACTGAACTGAACACAAAAGTGAAAGAAAAGTTTCAACACTTACGGCGCAGAATACAGGTGAGTGGCCACAGAAACAAGGTACTTGTTAACAGTGAAGGGAGCTTGGCCCTGTGACTCACCTTTGCCTCAGTGGCTGCTTGAGAGCTCCCCAGGTTCTTTAGTAGTGGTGGCTGAAGGGCGACTCTGTCCTAACCTCGTCTGCTAATGACGAGGGACTTCTGACTGCAGAGCACTGCAGCTGTGTCCACAGGTGGATGCAGGGTACACCACCCTGGGGAATTCTCAACTTGGAAACCCTGAGTTCACTTCAACTGTGTTCTCCTCTCTACCACTCTGTTACCTCATATGTATCCAAAAACTGTCCAGTGAATAAAGAAGACCAAAGATGAATTGATGCATTTGAATTATGGCACTGGCAGAGAATGCTGGATATACCACAGATTGCCAGAAGCACGTACCAATCTCTCATGGAAGAAGTACAGCCAGATACTCAGAAACATGGATGGTGAGACTTCCTCTCATATACTTCAGACAACTTATCAGATGGACTTGTCTCTCGAAAAGGACATCAAGCTTGGTAAAGTACAGAGTCATTGAAAAAGAGAAAGACCCCAATGTGGGTGGCTGCAACAGTGGACTCAAGCATGACAACAGTTGTGAGGATGTGTAGGACTAGGCAGTGTTTCGTTCTGTTGTATAAAGGGTCCCTATGTGTTGGAACTGACTCAATTTCACCTCATTAACGAACTAGCTAACTGACCATTTTCTCTAACCCATTCACTTTTCTCCTTCAGTACATCATTACTTTCATGCCATCACTGTGCCCTGCTTTTCTTTCTGTTTCTGTCGTCACCGGACACATCATTTATGCATTTAACACTCCGGAGTTCAGCTGTGCTGTATGTGCTGCCTCAAATGGCACTAGGGAGCAAGAAGAAGCAGGTTGAACAGTGTATGTGTTTCTACTGCTGGGCCCACCTTGAGGGTGAAGTGGGTGCTCACCCCTGGTGTGTCTATTCCGTGGTAACGGGACTTAAAGAACTGTGATTTTCCTACAGCATGATCCCAAATGCTACGCCAGAAGAGCAGTCTATGCTAAAGGTGACAGAAAAGCTGGCCAGTTGGACACCTGAAAAACAGGATTTTTCGAGAGTGGTCGTGATGGTGTGCCATGGAGTTGGTTCGGACTCAACTGCAACCCTGCATAGGGTGTCCGAAGCTGTAAATCTTTACGGGAGCAGAAAGCCTCATTTATCTCCTGCAGAACGGCTGGTAGTTTCGAACTGCTGACCTTGACATTAGCAGCCCGACTTGTAACCATGTGTAATTTGTGTCATAGACATTAACTTTGGAATTTCACCAGTGGCCCAGTAGATGGCTGATGGCTTTCCGTCTCTATCTCCAACACTGATGTCATCACTGTGCTAAAGCAAATGGAAGAATTGAAGAGGTCTAAGAGTTGAAAAGAAAATTTCAAAGATCAGCTCGAGAAGATAAAACCAAATGCTATAATAAAATATG